TGACATTTCCATAAAGTCCTCCTGAACAAAAGCAGCAAGACCTAATCTGTATTGGAAGAAAGGTTTACCAACCATCCTGAGCTCACGTGCAGCAAGACTCGAAGATAATAGATTCAAAGTGAGCCGCTTATTCTTAACGCGTTTCAAAACGTACCTCAAACAAAGACGCGGCGTCCTGTTCGGCTAAGCCCTCATCCACCTCGTAGCCCTCGTCTCTGCTCGCCTGCAGACAGATTTGATGACGAAGATCAAGAGATTTAGCGAGAAGACGGGGGGGGAAAAGCCAGAGCGATGGCTTAAACAAATATTCACACGCATTTGGTGGGATCACAATCATCCGCAACACATTATGAAAAGGCCCCATTTGGAAGCCGCGGGTCCGTGGCGAGTCCTTGGAACATAAGTCATGCTGCGTTTGTCATTTTTCACAAAGGGGAAGGAAACGGGCGGGAGCGTGAGCGGGACGGAGATGGCATGCAGGCATAACAATGACGCCGTGTGTAGCTCAATAGCCGAGTAGGCGAATAAAAGCGTGCAAAGCTATTGTCTGAACGTTATCTCATGGGCTGGGGCGACGCAATCCCAGCGCTTCCTTCTGGTCCATTTTGAAACGTGACTTCAAAGTACGACTCAATGAGAGAGTGAAAGAGAATGAAACACGTTCACCTGCAGGAGTGAGATCAGGAGGTTCCTCACGTCGCCACTGGTGTCGTCTTCGATGTCAGCTTCCAGGTCACGTTCATGCACTGAAAAGTCATCAATTACTCCTTGGACACTTTACGCTCGACAAACAAGAACGGCAACATCAAATGTGCACTCGATCCCAGGGGACGTATGTTAACGTGGATTAAAACGAGAGTGAGAAAGCCACAAGTCCTGACGCTATGACTCCCAAAACATCCAATAGTCATGATAAACAATATCAGCATGCTGGTGGAAATATTTTTCCCCTCACAGATTTCCCCTAATTGTGATCCGTACACTTGTAGCAAGTTGGGATGGACATGTTCAATATCTTAGAAAGAAAACAAAACTCATCTTTAGGATATTGTGTGCTTCGGGGGAAAAAAAAAAGTTTCTTGACATTTGAATGGACGAATATTTGTACAATACATCCATGAAGAAGAGCTTACCCTGGGCATAGGCCTCTTTGTAACTGATAATGTCCTGTTAGGGGGTCAAAAAAAGAGAGATGATTTAATCAGAAACAAGATGGCCGTCATGAGTCTACTCGAAGGTTTTTGGAGAATATCCTCGACGATTCTTTGTGGTGGGAATATTGGAGCCGACTTGTAGAATCCGACCAAGTTATTTGTTGGTGCGTCGGAAGCAAGCCGCCGCCTTCCGATTGCTTCTTGAAAATGTGGAACATCTTCGGCGCGATGCCGAAATGACTTGAGCGTATTTTGACAGACCTCGTTGGTGGCCGTGCACAGGATCTCCACCAGCACGGCTTCATCCGTGCCCGCCCCCTTCATGGCCTTCCCCAGCTCCTTGGCGAAGTAGACGTTGGGAGGGTCCAACATGGCCATGATGGCGTTCTCAAAGCTGCCGGTCAGCTCCTTTTTCAGGACCTCCTCCAACTCCTAAGCCAACAGACATACTGTAGG